GCAAAGGCCGGTATTGAGACGCCTATTACATCACGTATATTTCATAGTCAGCTGCGACAAATGCATCAATGAATTCCCCATACATTTTATAATCAAATCACAGTTGGTCTTTGTTACCAATACCAACTGGATATTGGTGTGAAAACAAACGCTGTGCTCGGAAGACTGCGCTACTGTAGTTTGAAATGTAAACAAAGAAAGATTCGATTTATACTGCGTAGCAGCACCGGCTACTCATTGCTTGCAATGGCTCAATACCTTTAGAATATGTATGGAAAGAGTATCATAGCAAGAAAGAGGAAATTAAAAATAGATACAATGCAATGATTTGATTTGATACTTCATAAGAAATTGTCAAAGTTTCCGTGCAGCGTGACGCCATAACAGACGCAAAATCACGCAGAACGACAACGGTAATTATCAGCATTTCTGGCTTCTTCTCTTACTTACAAAGAAAACATATAACAATACACAGATAGTCAGAGTCACACTGATTACTTACATTTCATATTTATGTACAAACGATCCCTGAAGCAAGGGAAGAGTCCTCGCAAAATCCTGTGTACCCTTGTCAGCGAAGCCGCCATTTTGTAAGAAATCGGTCATCGGTTGTGATGTCACACGTCAACATTGTTGTAGTACTACATATATAGAGAATACTACACGAGGTCTCATTACATACGAATTATACGAAACGAGTGTCCTTCCTATGGTATCTGACCGAGCGAAAGCGAGGTCAGATAACATAGGAAGGTCACGAGTTTCGTATAATTCGTTTGTAATGAGACCGAGTGTGGTATTTTATTTATTACCCACGTCTTACATGCATTTAAATTGACAAAATAGCGTATTTTTGTTATGTTTTTGGTTTCAAACCGAAACCGGTTTCATAAAGAGGTTGCGGAAGAGTTTTGTACTGTAGTACAATATTTGCATGACGTCACACTAATGACGTCACTGCCATGGTAACCGACGTCACGATGCATGTCAGTTGTCATCGCCTCGTACAGCCTCCTACAGTAAACTACTCCGTTGCACCTCGTTTCTTGGTTTCCAGCTGCTTCATTCGGCTAACATCACTGGTGGAAACATTGCGTTTATGTTTTTCGACAGATATAATGTCTCAGTTCGACTCACAATTAAACAGCGACACGGCAACGTTCGCAATGTTTACATTCCCACAATGCATTTAAGTTGTAGAATGAATGAATTCACGTGTTTGTTATGAATGAAAAATAGTTACGTCAGAATGTGACCTAATTGAGAGGTCATCGGTTATCCAATCAAATCGTTAGAATTTCAGGTCAAGTCGGTACGACACAGGTCAACGCGATACGACACTCGTGTGACGTACGATATTAATATGCAACTACCCATACGTTGACCACGTGGGTGATAATAGGCAATATCTTTGAGGTGAAGGTGGGATGAAAAAAAAGTAAACACAATCGTCCTATCCTTCTGATTACATACTTTCAGTACTATGATGTATATTTTGCGTATCATTCAGATACAGGGTATACGTTTTTATTCTTTGAAAGTTTTTGATTGTTTGAATAAAAGTTACAAAAGAAATTGACACATTTAGAGTATCACACCACGTTTTAAACCTTTACACAAGTGTTAGTAGATCAAGCGTAGCCATAACTGCAACATTGACTTTAGGTCCTATAGTGTGCAATATTGGGACTAATATTGCAGTTTCATATGAACAAGTTAATGGACAGCGATTTAATTCAAACTTTAAAAGTAAAACTGATAATATTAATGGAAATGATTTATACATTTTATCTTGTAATTTTCAATGAAATTTAGTGAGAGAATCCAAAATAATTCATTTATTGATATTTTTTTACCATAAGATAACCTGTACATTGAATTAAAAACATAACATTTGCATTGTTATTCAAACTGTTTTTCTATTTTGAAAAACTTTGAGAATAACAAGATAAGCAGGTGCCCGTTCGGTCTCGCTTTATGCGTTGCTATGCAACAAAGTACCTCTTATACAATGTACGACATGGATTTAGGACCGCGTCGTACGACATGGATATGACGTCTTTGTGAAACGGTCGTAAAGGAGGTCGGAAGAGGGTCGTAAACAAGGTCGTAGGGTCTACAACCTCCTAAATTTAGGAGGCTTTTTGTGAAACGCGGGCCAGGAATTTTAGACATTATGTCGTTCAATGTTGAGACTGTTGCTCTGCAGTCTTTCTGACTGCATCTCCATGAGATCCATTCTCTCCTTCTCTCTTGTTTAGAATGAACATATACCGGTAACCATTTACACATAGATATCTTCAACCACGAAAAGTAGGAAGAAACTTCTAGTCTAACTGTGCATTTACCATAACTGAATTTGTGGAAATAATGGTGAAAACTGTCATTTCCAAAATTCTTATAGCAAGTTTCTGCGAGAAAATAAATAACTCACAACTTATTAATTGAGTGAACTAATTTATAAATCAAAGTGACTGTGTGAACTCAATAACATGGATTCAATCTCATACTGGTAGTCTGGTATACATGTCTTATTTCTTTCCTTGAGTGAACACGTTTTTTCATCTTGTAGAATCCCTTAAAACCACACCGTTGTCAAAACATCAAACATCAAACGATTTTTACCTTGACCCAAATGTCTAACCTACCCTTTATCTCGATAATGATACAAGAATGAATATGGGAACCGTTCTCTATGCATCGACAGGAATACCTATCAAACAAGCATGGAGTTGCTATTGGCGTGGCGTCGTGTTCTCATTGCAGGTTTTAACATTTTCAAACGTATATAATTGTCACCACAGCGACAAACCTATTTTACAGTTTAGTAGAAAACTTAACAGAAGCATCCAACCTGACCTTACAATGAGCGGTGTGATAATTCAAGACATAGATAATCACAAGCATCTAGACTTGACCCTTCAAAATAACTGTAACTGGGATATTAACATAAAGTCTATTGGCTGGCTTATTATGAAATTAATGTCTTGTCTAAACTGGAATCTTTCAAATGTATATTTGTCTCTGGAATCATCTGTCAGCTTGTGGGCTGATTTCTCTTGATCTATAATGAATGTTTTATTAAAACATTCTGTAACGTACTTCTTGTAAATGATCAAATTAATCTAGATACACTTATGATTCAGTAAAAAGGGAATTCATTTGAGTATTTGCTTCAATCCGCACATGTTTGGACAACACAACCAATTTTCTATTGACAAGTTCACGTGATTTTCGTGAATACGCAAATTGCACAAACTCAAATGGCCTCTCCCTTGTGACAGGTGTTGGAGAATGTATTCTACTACGGTTAGTTCCCATGAAGCAGAATTGTAAAAACATAGGGTGATTACCTCCAAGAACTGGTGATCTCGAACAAAGGCCAGTTAATGTTTTAACAGGCACAAGGTTGATACGAAAAGTTGAAGGGGTAAAGAAATGAAATAAGCCTAAACTGATATTTGACATTTTCATGACATAATATATTTGGTGTTGCCACAATTAATCATCACAAGATGAAACATATCATGTGAAATATATCTCAACTATCATTTGGAGGGCCTTTTCAACTATCTTCTTAACTCTGCTATACCAACACGCCAAGTAATAATAAGATACATAATTTGCAAATCATGTATGACCTATTTCAACTTATTACTGACCCTACGAGGGTCACCCAAAACTCTAGCACTTGTTAGATATTAGTAGATTAGTAGATTAATCAATAACTTTGGCGAGACGTAGAACGTATCATCCCCGTAGACGTTGAGTGAACACATGAATCAGTATCATTATAATCTCAGTGAGCTAAACTCAGTAAATTAACTCAGTAAATTCGATCATATTTCAAAACAAGTTCAGAATTTTATAGCACCCAGTGTCTTAATCCCGTATAACAACACCGACGCAACATGAGGCGAGATTATACTGTAATAACAAAATCCTACTTCACGGGAATACCCCATTACGCCATGGCACGGGTTCACTTTTATGGCATGTAATACACTCAGTCAGTCAGTATATCTGTACACTGCTATATAGTCCATATAGCGTAGGTGTATGGAATTTGTATTCATACGAACATTGAGAGGGGGGAAAAATTAAACATATTTGCGCTTTTGTGGATAACAACTAAAACATACACTTGAAACTGACTTTTGAAAATGCTCGTCATACAAGCGGTAAATAGAACAGTCAATATCAATTTTTGACACATAGAACAAGAAGAATGCAGATGAGTGAAGTTAAACTAATATATAGAATTGGTTCCTAGTTGGTCGCATAGGACGGCGAATAGTAAACACTTAATCTAAACATAATCGCAACTTTAAAAAATGTATCACTTCAAGCGTGAGACGCAGTTGCATTGATATCAAGCACAAAGGGATAATATGAAAATATGGCTTATTCCTGCAGTTTTCATGAATAAACATGTCACATGCAAGATACATTATGTATATCAACAATAAGAAATCTAACAGATCAAAAGATTCGTGAAATAGTTCAGTATATACACCCATGGGCCGGGGATCCTTGAGAAAAAGGAGAAATTGAAAGAAGTAGTGCTAAAATCCTTCCTAAATTTCCAAAAGTTTCCAAGCCTTGGAAACATCATCTTTCCAATTTTGGAAATTTTTGGAAATATGATATTTCCAAATTGGAAATTTTTGGAAATATGATATTTCCAAATTGGAAATTTTTGGAAATCTACATTTTTTTTCTTGTGCCCTTTACCTGTGGAGACCCTGTTAGAACTGGTCTTCAGCAACACATGCTTGTCCCGAATTGATTCTAACGGGATTTTCTGGTGAGGCTCGCTGAATTGTTGATGCCTGTCATCTAATCCCAACTGCGTCGAACGATACTTGTGATGTCTATCACTGAATCGTCTGGTACAGACTCAGTTATCCACATGACCCGTCATTTAGCTCTGTGCTATGTTAAACAACAAACAAACAAATCACATACAGTTGTGTTTACGTGTGGTGTATGTGTTCCAGCAATAGGATCTGCGTTGATGGACGTGTCCTCAGCGGTGATCATTTGCCACTATTTCGACAAATACCTTCCCCTTGCCTCGGGTCTACAGATGTCAGGAGGAGGGGCGGGGCTGCTCATGGGTGCTCCTATAGCGAGAGCCCTCCTTGACACGTTCGGACTGAGCGGGACGTTTCTTGTACTAGGAGGAATAGGAGCTAATGCGTGTGTGTGTGGTATGTTGTTCAGACCTTCGCCGCATGAGCAACATACAGGAACAAAGTCGAAGGAGACGTCGGGAGACGTCACCCGAAATCTTGTGGATCAAGAAGTAGACGTGCAGTCAGAAGTCAGAATAAGCTACGTACAACGTTTACGTTCAACAGTCAGAGACACGTGGTCACTTGTGTTTAATTTGAGCTTTATGCTGTACGTCCTTTCCTATACATTTTGGGGATTTGGAGAATCAATCATCTATGTACATTTAACTAACTTTGCGGAGTCTAAAGGAACTAGCCAACAGAATTCCGCCATGTTGTTCACAGCAATAGGCGTTACTAGTATAATAGCGCGGGTGTTGGCAGGGTTTGCTGGTACCGATCCAGCAATAGGCGTCTTCATGCTACACACGGGTATGGTAGGTGTAGCCGGTGTCCTGCTCATGCTGTGCCCCCTTCTCTCGAGTTCCTTGACGCGACAGTTTGTGTTTAGTAGCTTGTACGGCATCTTCAGTGGTGGGCCGATGGCGCTAGTGAAACCTATCATTGTTGACCTAGTGGGAGTAAAACAACTGGCGACCGGATATGGAGTGGTGAATTTCATTGGTGGCCTTGGATTACTTCTCGGACCTCCTTTTGCAGGTAGGTAAACATGCGTTATATGTCGCAGGTGATAGAACCCTGTAGAAACACGCCGACATACTGAATTGTTTAAATATTACTCGTATTATGACGTCACACATTATTGTATTAGGATGTTAAATGGATTTCACATTATGTCACGAAAGAGTGGGTGAGTGAGCTTGCTTAACACGGCTACATTGTTTCGATTCAAATAAAAGGAATATCAACATTTCTAGAATGTGTCATTGATTCTGGACACAGATAACGAAATACAAATAAATAACTTTCAAGTGCTTTTCTTGCATTTATAGGTTATCTCTCCCTAATGTTAAAACTCACTGAACCAGTGAACATCTCCCTTATCTGCAGAAAGTAATGACATCTGCTCGGCGCAACATCTTCAGATTTGCAGTTGAATCTGGTCGCCAAACCTTTGTTTTTCAACAAGCATGCAAGGGACTTCGAGTATGTTGAAATGGAACTACATGTTACACATATTGCCAAGTGAGCAGAAGCTGCTAGTCAAATTATATGATTAACACACCAATAACTGAAACATTTAAGACTGATAGGTGACAATATCATGTAATTACATAATAAATTAGCATAATGTCCAGCCATGTTTCATCATGTACATAATTATCACCTTTATAATTGTTTGGGCCTAGGGTCTGAAGTATAGAATAGCGCCCGTCTGTCTGTTGATACTCTGAAGAAGTATCGTCGCTTGTCAACAACACGTCTGTTTACAAAGACCATTTCTGGTGTCCCCAGCCGTGATATCACAGGAATACGGCATAATGCGGCGTAAAGCCATACTCACTCTTTATTAATATTTCAAATCGTTTGCAGGATATATCATGGAAGTATCTGGGAGCTACGACGTTAGCTTTGCCTGTTGCGGTAAGCAGATTCCTAAATATATACGTTTTATTGTTTGTGTTTACTGATTGATTAATGAATATTCGACTGCTTGTCAGAGCAGACTAGTGAGTTTATGAATTACCGTAATAAAAATCATAATCATAATCTGTTCTCACTCAGAGGTCCATTCATGATATGACACACAATGTGAAGTGGGCGTCAAGGAAAATTATAATTATTAATTCTGCTGAATAAACCCGTATGCCCCTTCAATGTATTGAAGCCAACAGGACTGGCATCTGAAGATCCTGGTTAGAATTGATCTTCAGCAACCCATGTTGGTCGTAAGAGGTGACTAACGGGATCGGGTGGTCATGGTTACTGACCTGGGTGAAACTTATCATCGTGTCCCATTTACACAGGGCCTAGATTTTCGAAGCTCTCTTAGCGCTAAGATAGTCGTAAGTTAATGTAAATGTATAGCACTTACGACTATCTTAGCGCTAGGGGAGCTTCGAAAATCTAGGCCCTGGATTGTCTGGTCCAGACTCGACTATTTGCAGACCGCCGTCATATAGCTGGGATATTGCTGGGCGCGGCCTTAAACAACAAACAGAAACAAAGACCAAAACAGACCTCGTCCTTCATGATAAGTCACATGGCCTTTCAATCATTTATGCTAAATTTCGATGTCCATTTTGACACAAAGGTATATGAACGTATTAACGAAAAACGAGGTGTTTGCAGAAAGATCAAAGCACATCTTGCCTCAACGATGGTAATTTGCGGCCCATATATTAACATGTACATGTTCATAGCAGTATGTAGCTGATGTGTTAAATTGTTTCAGGTAGCGCTATCGTGATGGGAAGTCTTCTGTCTCTGGGTATAGCGATCTGTAAGAGACCAAGTACAACAAGTGACCGGGAAATGGGCGTGGCAGTTTATGAGGAGGAACACACTGCCGTACTATCGGGTACAGAGGAGCAATAAATGGAATTACACATTTTCCACAATCTGCGTATACACTTCTTGCAAGCAGCGTACGATATACTGTACAAGCTAATGTGTTTCCTTTCCAAGTGTGAACGTAGTTTACGTAAGATGAAAAAAGTTAAGTAATTATGTCATTATATCTCTACTACCCTGGTTTTCTTGGTTGTCAGAGATAGATTCATCTTCAGCGACGTGGATTTGGGACTAGTTATCGTAAACCCAAAGCAAGTGGGCGTTGCTCCCATATATAAATCATAGGATTGTCTGGCCCAGATTAAGTTGTTTACAGAACGCTCTAGTTTAGCTGGGACATTAATTAAGCACCACACACATGCCGATTTAAATGATCTGTCGCATATGGTTGCTAGTATTCATGCGTTCGGTTATTTTTAAGTGAACTTTGAAACATTCGCCAGGACGGCGTTGTCATTAATCAGCATCCACAAGCACATCTACTGTGACATCTGGTATATTGTGACATCACAACAATGGAAGAGGATAATTAATATAATTTGTGTAGCTACTGCCGTAAGCTGTTTTATATTGCTTTCGACAATGCAACATATGCTTGAACTACATACATTCACATTATGGCGTAAGCTTTTTGTGTATATTTTCATTTCAAGTAGACGTGTTTCCCTACAGGACATATACTGTAAGCCATTAAAAACGCAATTTGACATTCATTCTTTTTTTACTCACACTGATTCCTTTCGTCTTGTGTCAAGTGTGGCATTTTCTCAAAGTGATTGAGTTCCACAATTCCTTGTGCTTTTACAGGGCCTGGGTGCAGGTACTGCATGTGCACAACGTGTTTCATGAATGTGGTTGTGTTTACGAGAAAACGAGTTTTAAGTATCACAGTTCATGTGAGAGGAATGCTCCGGGACTCGAACTCGAAATGGGCCAGAATAACAGCCTTTTATCCCTACATCCTCTGTATCGCAGGAAAAAATCTTCAATAGAACTTGTGTAAGTTTCAGGACAACAAATACCAATTGCGTTTTTAATGGCTTACAGTATATAATAATTTCCTCAATTCACATGGGACATGTGATTGTTCAACACCTTCACATATGATACATGTTGTGCTGAAGCAAATGTGTTGCTCAAAATCACCTATGCGTTTCTTTGTTTGAAGTGTGTATATGTGTAGCTTTTGCCATAAAGACAAAGGTAGACAGTTACTAAACTAAATCGAATTTGTTATTGCTATAATGTTTCCAATAAATATGTCTGCCCAGTTGCTTGTTCCGGTCTCGGGAGTGGAACCTTCCTGAATAATGAATCTTTATCCGTAAAAACACGTCTTCAAAACACATGCCATATCTGTCATTGGGGGTTGTAGTGGACGTGAGAGCTGAGAGGATGCCGTGGCCAGGATCTATGGTGATAGATCCGTCGTAGTTTACTGTGGCCTATATTTTCAGCAAGGTGGCCAAGCGTTCTGCCGGTACTCCGACGGTACGCTTTCGATTCCCTACAATCGGTTTGTCATTTACCCATGTACTAGGACGTCAGGAGAAGACAAGTTGATTTTAGGGATAATACGTGAATTCAAATATCTTATTCTCAGTTTTTACAAAATAGAAGGAGACGGTTTTGCCATGGCTACATTGGTGAACGCACTCGGTGAGTGAGCGAGTTTAGTTTTACGCCGCTTGTAGCAATATTCCAGCAATATCACGTCGAGGGACACTAGAAATGGGCTTCACATATTGTACCCATGAGAGGAATCGAACCCGGGCCTTCAGCGTGACAAGAGAATGCTTTAAACAATAGGCTACCCCACCGCCCACTGAACTCAGCGATATGTAGTAATGTGACGGCGCTGTGCCTTTGGTGTTGTGATTTAAACATATTTTATTCATTAAAGAAAGGGATTGGGCACAAGATATCCAACTTAATGAAGCCCTCTCCCAAAGCTTTTGGTGTTCATGCATGACAACTTTATATTTTGCTCTTTTAAAGATTTCAATAAGCGCCAAACGACTCTTGGTCGCTTTTACACCCAAAGCCCCAATAAAGCCTGAAGGAACATTTTGTAATTTGACAACCGATGGCAACAAATAATGTTCGATGTTATTCCATATTTTGACTGGTACCATACCTCTACAATTTATTTCCGGGTTCATTTGTTTGTTGATTACCGGTAAGCTCAACAATATTCCACCGATGTGACGGTGGTCTGTAAATAAAAGTGTCCGGATAAGACAATCCCGTGATTGTCATAACGATCATCAACCTGCACAATTGGGACACCATAATACGTGCCAATCCGATCCCGTTAGTCGTGTTTTACGACCAGCATTGGATGCTGAAGATCAATTGTAACCCAGTAGCGGCATCTCAGTAGTTAACACTATATAACATGATCATCACGGGTTGATAGGATATCAGTGTGTGCGGACATCGCTCTGAACGTTTTGACACAGAGCGCATATTTCAGATCGACAGATTTGGTGGAGGAGGCGTAACAATGTGTGTATCTGGTCTAACAAAGATACAAGCTACAAAGCCCTCTTCAACATTAACAAACCTCAACAGCCTTGAAATGTAAATAATCGGGCTGGATTATCTCCCGACACAGATTAAAAGATGCGTGAACATCAGCAGTCAATGAAGACACCAGGTGTTCATAAAAAGGCTTCAACGGTAGCAAAAGGACAATGATGCCAAAATCATAAAACAGGTACTTGTGCGATACCGAGTATAAGCATGGCTGTGTTTATGACCTTTCCATTATTGATGAATCGTGAGCATCGTGCCCTATCAGTGGCATTCGTCACAGACACAGGGAATCTTCCAATGGACTAATGGTAATGGAAAGGGTTTCGTCGCTTTTCTTCCACATCGTTACAAGAAGGACTCAAGTTGCCAGTGAGAATATACGAAAACCTTTATTCAAATCTCAAGAATTTAAACATTTTGAACACACACTATTTATGTTTTATGCTGCTTAAATTTAGATTTCTCAAATATCCATCTTTGGTTGGCTCCTCTGTTACATGGATTCATCACGAGGCTTGAATTCACTGCCAGCGTGAGACATGTGTCTGTACTTCTCAATTCAAGGCTCTGTTCCTAAAAGAGACGAATGAGACTTAATATAGATATTGTCTATCACCTATAAAATGTTTTTTTATTGGAACTGTTGTATTTCCGAAGTCTAAAATAATACTGAGTGTGTGAGCTTAGTTTTACAGCGCCTTTACCAATAATCCAGCAATATCACGGCGGGGAACATCGGAAATGGGCTTGACACGTTGTACCCATGCGGGGAATCGAACCCGGGCGTTCGGCGTGAGCAGCGAACGCCTTTGCCGCTAGGCTACACCACCAAATCTATACAAACGTGCATTGACGCATCTTGTTTACGGAGCACCTGCGACCACTCCAATAATGGTACGTTATACAGGGATACATCGACCAGTAACAAGTGTTACAATAATGTTACTATTACAAATGTTACTGTGACACATTAGATACTATTATTATGGTATGTACAATTAACATATGATCTATTTCTTTATTTTTCAAGTGACCACGCAACAATATTCCAGTTGTATGTATGATCTGTAAATTATCAGATTAGACAATGCTGTGACGGACACCATGTATATAACTCTGCACACTTATGAAAAGATGAACCGCCGTCAAGTAGGACAACTAACCTGACCACCCGATACTTTAAATTTAATCTTGCTCCGTTGCGGAAGACCCAATTCTTTGAATTTTAATCGCGCACTGACCGGGTCACGAAAAGTGTGTCTCGTGTACCTTTTGGGAGTATGTGAATATTTGCACCAAGCAGGAAACAGTACTGCCTTGATCTAAAGACAGATCGACACATTGACATTAATATATTCTTCAACAAATATATCAAATAAACATGACAAAGGAACAGTTTGCATTTTAGGAATATATTGAGACGCAAACCCATCCATACCCTTCCACAAACCCATCCGCCACCTCAGACACTACAAGAACTGCACGCGGCACTTAAGCAAGAGTATCAAAACATTCCTCAAGACAGCCTTCGGCATCTCCTTTCTTCCATGGGCCGTCTCTGCCAAGCTGTTATCGATGCTCATGGTGGTCATACCAGACACTGACATCTTACTCTGACCAAGTGGCTTTAATTGCCGTCTGTTGTTTTACCAAACACTTTCTGGAAAATCTTGTTGACTAAATTTGTAAAGTGATGATTGTAGTTGCGCAATGTTGTCATGTTTGAATCAGTTATATGCACTCTATAAATAAACTCCAAAAACATCATGTCAAGTTTCTTTGTTTAAGAGTGTAAATACATACACTTTAAACATGACGAAATCAAGAACATACCTCGGTATACGTCCAGTTGCCGGCATTGTGTCCCCAGCACTGGGTGTGGGCCAAGTGTCCTTCTTTCACGCACAAGCTCCTGGTGTTTGACTGCCACACCTCTCCTGATGGGAGCAGCTTCCAGTACTGCGGAGAAGAGAAGCATGTATTTATAACGTGAAGACAAACTTTCACAAATTCGAAGCGATGCCGCCAAGATCCATTCACTAACCATAACATCTGACATATGGCGTTTTCAAATTCATAGTGAAATCATTTGCAGACGCGAATGGTAAGGAAAGCAGAGGTGCAAAATAATGTTGAATAGAGAATTGAAGCGTCAGTGTCGACAGATACTATTGTGACAAATCTAAACGAATGTTGAGGTGGATATAAATGTTGCTCTGTGAGCTGAGGATCATATTAAATAAAATGTCAACCTTGTGACATACGGATGTTGCAGTTCTGAATACGTGTCTTTACCTAGTCTGTCTCACAGTCCCTGAACAATATCATTTCCACTACTGCCTAGCCCTCCCTGCAATGCTGAATCCCTACATGAAGCAAGCTATAGATTTCCTTAGGTTCTGGGTCTGTTATCATCTGCAAGAAGAAAACTAACTCACTTTACGGTTCGGATTAGCCATGGCAGTTAGATTATTTTGAGGTCCGAACTCTGAAGTGAGTTAGGGGATATGCAGATGATACATGTCCCACCTCACTGGGGCTCTCTTTCAATTTAAATAGGTTTACTTGTTACCATCAAAATTATATACATTCAGAGACGTTAGTCTAATCTTTACCAAGAGAATGGTCTCCACCATAAATCGACCCTTGCGCTACAACTATCGTAACGTTTTGGATATCATTTTGTGGACACACCATTCCTTCGTCAGGCAGAAGGTGCTGGTTTGGTTACCAAGAGAGGAACAGTCTGTGATCCCGTTACTGGTTCCCATCCCCCACTCTTCAACCTATTGTGGCGTTGTCGCTTTAAGGACAATCCTCTCTCACAGCGCCCGTAAAATATACGTACAAACATACCTGGTTTCCCCCAGTCCCGTGACAAGGATAAACAATCGGTACACTGCTTCCAGCATCAACACACAGATCTGGACTGGACACGCTGCGAATCTGAGGAAGAGTTCTAGAACTTTTAATTCGTCTTTATCTGTTTTAAACCTTCACCAAAGCGTCTGTAATGTACTCTTACTAATATCAATATGATAATCAGAAGAAGATGTGGTTTGTTATTGGTTGCACTGTGCAACATTGCAACTATATGGCGGCGGTCTGTAAAACATCGCGTCTAAACCAGACAATCTAGTGTTCATGTGAGCATCGATCTACGGAACTGGGATACGGTGGCATGTGATAAGGGTAAGAATGGGACAGGAGTAGATAGTTTTGCATATCGTTTGGCATGGTGTCACAATACGATGATCACAGTTGCGTCCCTTGAGCTCGCCAGAGCTATGACTATGGGTTCGATTCCTGCTTTGCCGTGATTATGTTTCTGGGTTTGGCATCACCATGAATGTACCAATAAGTTTTCCCAAGGGGCTAGATATCTGAGACCTGCTTCTCTCTGTGTTCTGCTTTCACATTAAGCTGATTCGCTGTAATATACAACTGGAATATTGTTCAAAGCAACCTTAGACGTTGACCCTCCTCACTCATAAATTATTTAGAACCTTCCATGACACAGACATCTAACACTGCAATATTGCGGTGATGGCTAGTAACATATGTTGTTTTAGTCTTCATATTCATCATTATTTTAGTCTTCATATTCATTTTGGTTCAGTCTTCATATTCATTTTTGTTTTAGTCTTCGTGTTTTAGTCTTCATAAGTGTCATTGTATTAGACCCATATTTACAATTGTTTTAGTCTTCATATTTAGGTGGAATTAATTTACTTCATAATGCAACTATTCTTTTGGTATCCATTGCCGCAAAATATCTTCAAAACAGTTTTAGGCTCAGTGTGCAAAAGGGTTATACAAGTAAACTGGGTCCGAACTGTGCGGACACTGGTCTGGTTTACAATGTGTACCCTTGGTAACTCATTTTCTGGTATCGTGTATAGAAATGGCTTTACAAGGTTACACTCACACTGAGAGGAGTTCCCATACAATTTATGACGAACCTGGATTGCTCTCGTAATATTACTTATCAAATTAGTGAGAAATGTGTACAATGCCTGATGGACGTTAAAATACATATTCCATTGAACGTGGGTTAGTCTTTTCCCAATATTGGTAGTTGGTGAACAAGATATATCTCACCTCACCCGCATTAAAAGCCGGGACAATAGGACACTCGGGATAAACATTCTCTATATACCACCGGAAGCTGTGACAATGGAGACTTTCCCTGAGCTTCTTCCTGTCGCTAACATCACCATAGTTACTGGCCTGCAAAAAGAAGACCAGTCCTCTCCGATTAAAGAATACGTACATACATCGTTACCTGAGACACCTGAACCCATCAGTTTTTCAATTTAGCATGTGTGTGAGGTCTTCAAACAACAACCATGTTAACGATACCTTAAGGTGCTTTAATTCCTGTATTAAGTGATACCTGAAAGTATTTTCCGTCCATATCTTAGTGCGTACTGTTGATTATGTGACACTGTCATTTTGAAAAAGATGTTGCCACTTAGTAAGGTGGTGTCACTGAATAAGGCTTTACTATTAAGTAAGGTATTGCCACTCAGTAGGTCATTTCCACCTAGTGACGTAGTACCATTAAGTAGGGTATTGTCATCGAGTTACTTAGTGTCTTTCAGATGGGTATTCCCAGTATGGAATGTATTATTACTCTGCAATGTTTTCTTAGTCCGACACATATTGTCACTCAGTAAGGTATTATCAGTTAATGTCAGTCAGTAAGGTATTGTCAGTTAATGTCAGTCAGTAAGGTATTGTCAGTGAATGTCAGTCAGTAAGGTACTCCTACTCAGTGAGATATTGTCAGCCATTAACGTATTCTCCCTCTGTCAGTTAAAGTCACGGAGTAAGTAAGGTATTCTCACTTAATAAAATGTTGCCTTTATCATTGTATCTAAATGTTTCACCTGCAGCAGTGAAGTCTGTTCATAGAACAAGTACTTGTACTCATCGAGCCAAACGTCCGCTACCCTCATGGAGTTGGTTAATATTGAATCCCCGCCTTTCTTCCACTTCACCGGATTTGTATACCGGAACACGTGACCCACGTGAGAACAGGGCAGCATCTCCAGGGTTCCATTACACATCCATACCTGCATTAAGGCATACTTAGAGAGTGACTGTCATCTTATATATACACACCTGCAATAAGGCATACTTAGAGGGTGACCGTCATCTTACACATCCATACCTGCAATAAGCCATACTTAGAGGGTCACTGTCATCTTATATATACACACCTGCAATAAGGCATACTTAGAGGGTGACCGTCATCTTACACATCCATACCTGCAATAAGCCATACTTAGAGGGTCACTGTCATCTTATATATACACACCTGCAATAAGGCATACTTAGAGGGTGACTATCATCTTACATATCCACACCTGCAATAAGGCATACTTAGAGGGTGACCGTCATCTTACACATCCATACCTGCAATAAGCTATACTTAGAGGGTCACTGTCATCTTACACATCAACACCTGCAATAAGGCATACTTAGAGGGTGACTGTCATCTTACATATTCACACCTGCAATAAGTCATACTTAGAGGGTGACTGTCATCTTACATATTCACACCTGCAACAAGCCATACTTAGAGGGTGACTGTCATCTTACATATCCACACCTGCAATAAGGCATACTTAGAGGGTGGATGTCATCTTACATATTCACACCTGCAATAAGTCATACTTAGAGGGTGACCGTCATCTTACATATTCACACCTGCAACAAGCCATACTTAGAGGGTGACTGTCATCTTACATATCCACACCTGCAATAAGTCATACTTAGAGGGTGACTGTCATCTTACATATTCACACCTGCAACAAGCCATACTTAGAGGGTGACTGTCATCTTACATATCCACACCTGCAATAAGGCATACTTAGAGGGTGACTGTCATCTCACATATTCACACCTGCAATAAGTCATACTTAGAGGGTGACCGTCATCTTACATATTCACACCTGCAACAAGCCATACTTAGAGGGTGACTGTCATCTTACATATCCACACCTGCAATAAGTCATACTTAGAGGGTGACTGTCATCTTACATATCCACACCTGCAATAAGCCATACTTAGAGGGTGAATGTCATCTTACACGTCCACACCTGCAATAAGTCATACTTAGAGGGTGGATGTCATCTTACATATCCACACCTGCAATAAGTCATACTTAGAGGGTGGATGTCATCTTACATATCCACACCTGCAAAAGTCATACTTAGAGGGTGAATGTCAGCTTAGACGTCCACACCTGCACTAAGTCATACTTAGAGGGTGGGTGTCAGTTAGACGTCCACACCTGCACTAAGTCATACTTAGAGGGTGGATGTCATCTTACACATTCACACCGTCAAGAAGTCATACTTGGATGGTGAATATCATCTTACACGTCCACACCTGCACTAAGTCATACTTAGAGGGCGAATGCCATCTTACACATCCACACCTTCAATAAGTCATACTTAGATGGTGAATGTCATCTTTCACATCTACACCTGCAATAAGTCATACTTAGATGGTGAATGCCATCTTACACGTCCATACCTGCAATAAGTCATACTTAGATGGTGAATGTCATCTTACACATCCACACCTGCAATAAGCCATACTTAGAGGGTGAATGTCATCTTACACATCCACACCTGCAATAAATCATACTTAGAGGGTGAATGTCATCTTACACATCCACACCTGCAATAAGTCATACTTAGAGGGTGGATGTCATCTTACATATCCACGACTGCAATAAGTCATACTTAGAGGGTGGATGTCATCTAACATATCCACACCTGCAAAAGTCATACTTAGAGGGTGAATGTCAGCTTCGACGTCCACACCTGCAATAAGTCATACTTAGAGGGTGGATGTCAGCTTAGACGTCCACACCTGCACTAAGTCATACTTAGAGGGTGGATGTCATCTTTCACATCTACACCTGCAATAAGTCATACTTAGATGGTGAATGCCATCTTACACATCCATGCCTGCAGTAAGTCATACTTAGAGGGTGAATGTCATCTTACACATCCACACCTGCAATAAGCCATACTTAGATGGTGAATGTCATCTTACACATCCACACCTGCAATAAATCATACTTAGAGGGTGAATGTCATCTTACACATCCACACCTGCAATAAGTCATACTTAGAGGGTGAATGTCATCTTACACATCCACACCTGCAATAAGTCATACTTAGATGGTGAATGTCATCTTACACGTCCATGCCTGCAATAAGTCATACTTAGAGGGTGAATGTCATCCACACCTTAAGAGGGTGAATGTCACCTTACACATCCACACCTGCAATAAATCATACTTAGAGGGTGAATGTCATCTTACACATCCACACCTGCAATAAGTCATACTTAGAGGGTGAATGTCATCTTACACATCCACACCTGCAATAAGTCATACTTAGATGGTGAATGTCATCTTACACGTCCACACCTGCAATAAGTCATACTTAGAGGGTGAATGTCATCTTACACATCCACACCTGCAATAAGTCATACTTAGAGGGTGAATGTCATCTTACACATCCACACCTGCAATAAATCATACTTAGAGGGTGAATGTCATCTTACACATCCACACCTACAAAAGTCATACTTAGATAATGATGAGTTGTACACTCCAGTCAGTAACAAATAGATACATCACGGTCTCCTCTACCGTCCACCACCAACCAACCATTAAATTCCCTTTTTCTTATCCTGAATAAATATTATGCATGTCTATACATAATTGTACTCCAGATTTTGGGATGATGATCGGCCATTTCAGTTATATTGCTATTCAGTTGTTTTCGTATATCTCAAGTCAATATCACCGTGTGAATAATTTATATTAGAATTGAAGTTTTATTGTCTCACTTTGAAAGACAGTTCCATGTTCTCACCGCCCCAGTACAGGAGTCCCGGGTCATACGTTCCAAGTGTTGTGAACCACTGCTTGTCTATAGCAAACAACCCACCGGGCATTGTGGGAGATCTGCAAACCAAGAACACAACCTTTGCACAAAATTACAACAATTTCTCTATCACTCATATGATGGACATCCACAGTACCTCATAAAAAATACACAGTAGACACACATGACTAAGGCTCCAAATGTAACTCGGATTATCATTAATCGGTATAGTAGATGCATGTACAACTCACTGTAAAATCACCTTATTGGATCAGCAGGCGATTTCTGTTTGGCCTTTCTGTCCTTGCTAATGTTGCCCCAGTTAAAGAAAAGCATCTTCCAGTCAAAGACACCAAACTGTCGTATTGTATTTCCGATTCCTGTACCGAAATTTTCTGAGTGGATCATATCGATTTTAGGGAAGGGAACGTTCCTTGGATCATCTCGAATTCGGTCCAGAAGTGGCTCTAACCATCCTGAAAACAGAAATTCTTTTATTACTATGTGCAACTAAATGAAACAGCGTAACTGTGGCTTTATCGGTTTGAAAGGCATTCCAGTAACCTATTCTGGTCGCTGGTGACCACGTGGGTCAAGCGGTCAGTGATTGGTCATCAGTCATACCCTAACCGTTGTTCCTGATATCAATCACGATTAGCTGTTCCAGAAACCACTTGTTGCGTTGACGATATCTACATTTGTCTTGATTATCGGTTATTGACGATTGTGCTCATTGGGACTATTGTCATGGTCGAGGTAAACATTAATACAATATTTAATAACACCACAGTGATATACCTGATAACATTCAATTCATACCTTTGCAACCAGGTACAGTTTAAGTCAAAACAACCGCACTCGTTGCCTAGTGCATAAATGTGAATCTGTTGGTGGTTCGATGTCATTCCAAAATTCGTTAAAAGGAGTTAACTGCGTTCGGAAACAAGCAATGGTTGACTCGGAGTTAGTAGTATGTATCTGGATTTCGGTATCCATGTTCCATTACGGCATGTGATGTCATGAGGTAAGCACTTTTAACTGATACAAACAAACACGCATGCACGCACGCACGCAAAGACGCATGCCTACAGGATGACAGCCAATTCGCTGAAACATATCAGTTACAAAATGCTTTCTTCTCCTTTCTTCCGACCCGTCAAGATCCGGGTTAGAACTGATCATCAGTAAACCCACGCTTGTCGTAAGAGGTGACTAACTTGATCGGGTGGGCGGGTTTGCTGACTCGGGTGACACATGTCATCGTATCCCAGTTGCGTAGATCGATGCTGATGCTGTTGATCACAGGATTGTCTGGGCCAGACTCGATCATTTACAGACTGCCACCATGTAGCTGGAATATTGCTGAGTGTGGTGTAAGACTAAACTCACGCACTCACTCACACACATTTCTTTCTTCCAATACCATTTCTGCAAAAAGATTCAGATAATTTTGAAGGAACAACGCTTTAAAGGCAACAGAATGAGAAACGCTGTACCTGGAAAGCACTCTATATGGGAGTCGAGGAACACAAGTGTTGGACCAGCAGCCACTTCATATCCGGTCAGCCTCGCTCTGATTAGGCCCTGTTGCTTCCGGTGTCTGACAATCTTCACCTTGCCCAACGATGACATGTACTTTTTCAAAGGTGCCTTTAGATGGTCTGATCAAATATGTAATGGAAGAAATAGAATGTTATTTACCATGTAGGAACATAGGTCGTGATTTTCAGAGATCCAATCCTATAATTTTCACAGCTATGTTTTCCTTTACTCCAAACGAAATTTATTCCTGAGGATAGACAAGCGTGGATACTCCTTTGCACTGACGTTTTGTATTTATGTCACAGATGAATTGTTACATCGGGTCTGAGAACAGTGAGACAACTTGTTTATTAGGACTAAATACATGTGTCATATACAATGCACACCGTGCTGATATGTTGATATATTGCTCTCCTTGAACACACCAATATGTGTCCCTTCTTTATGGTTTATTGATTTTTTAATGCTTTTTTAGTTTTTAAAGCATCTAGTCTATTCCCATCAGTAACTATTGATAATTGACAAAACTCATGAGCATAAAACCATCAAAGATTATACGACATATGTGATTATAGATTCTACACATACATTAGTATATACAGTTTTTAACAACGTCAGTGAAACGTTCCAACTTAATTTTCGCTATCCCTATTTCATGAAATTGTTGGCAAGTTTGAAATGTTCCAGTACCTTGAGTGGAGGCATCGTCAACGAGAATTATCTCCTTATGAGATGTGCAGGAGAGCGGTCAAGGATACTGTGGACGGATCTGAGGAGAGTGGACCAAGCCTCGTTATGGAAACAGATGATGGCACTAGCTGGAGGTAGATCTTCTGGATACACACGTGACTTGCATCTGACCGCACACAAATGTAAAACAAAGACATGATTTAATACTAGTATCTGTAGTAAGAGACATTAGTCAATGCCAAATAAGGAAATTGAAGGGCTACTACTCCATCTAACATCGAACGTAGACTAAACCCCTGTAGACGACAATGGAAGTACTAGTAAATATATTGCTTACTTTAAATGTGTTAATTATCCAACGGAGCTCACGTAAATGACAAGTGGAGTGATTTCTTTGAGAGACATTTTAGAAGTTGTATAGGTGAAGGAAAACCACGTTCTATGGATTGTCACCGTCTTTATTGCAATGAGTGCGACGTTATCATACAGGTGATCTACACCGAAAAGTGGAATTCATTGCAGTAGAGAAGTTGACTATCCATTGAACTTGGTTTTCCTTCAAATGGAGTGAAATCCGGATAACTGTGGATTCACTCTTTATGCCGGCTTGTTGAAGGCCATGACTCCAAATGGTGTTCACGTATAAATGTAAAACATTAATGCAGGCAATTGCAACATGTAACTGGAGGGCCCCAGATATTAAAATATTTAAAAAGCGATCTGCATCTTATACCTACTGGGGACGTCTGTAATCTGGTAGACGACGATGCACGGATATCCGGTCGCTCACCAACTGGTTGAAGCTATTTCTCTTCTTGCCCACTTGGAATTGAACTATTTCATCTCTCGTGGGTTTGTATTTGTGACTGTTACCCCACTCACCTAGGATGATACATTATAGAGACCTACAATGTTTCAGGCTATTGATGAACAACTTCATTATTTTTATAGTAATTCATAAACACATGCTGGTCCTTGCCAGACATTCTGAGGGGAATGAGTTTGGTTTTACTCCGCTTTTAACAATATTCCAGCAATATCATGGCGGGAAATGGGCTTCACACATTGTACCCACGGGGTGGGGTGGGGGTGGGGGTGGGGGTGGGGAATCAAACCCGGGTCTTCGGCGTGATCAGCGAACGCTTTAAACACTAGGCTACGCCACCGCCCCTTCATTGAGGAAGAACTCAGAAGGGTCACCTCACGCACCGGTCTGTTTTAACAATGAATAGTCCTGTCTTGAGTACAAGCTGATTTTATAGCTCTTAGTTCTTTCAATGTACAAACTATGTACAGATCATCAACTATATAAATCTGATTATTAATACATATCAGTATATGTCTGAATCAGTCAATTTCAAAGACACACTCTAAGGATATTAGGGCGGTTGCAGCGTAGCGTATCAAACCCGTGCTTGTAGAGCCAGTGCAATAGCCTTCCCAACTGCCCTACGCTGTGAGTTCCGTCCCCTGTCTTACCTGGACCATCCTCCGGACTGTACTCCACAAACGGGGGATATGTTACATTACTGTCCTCTCCTCCGTACTCCTCCACGTAATATTCCACAATGTGTGATTTCTGTTTCTGGTGTCCAAGTTGCTCTTCCGCTCTAATCAACGGCACATCTTTCCGACTGTCTCTTACCGCAGTGTGTACATGATTTATTTGTGTATCACCAGAGATGTTTCCCAGGGATTCTATATTGTGTTGTATGACGGAATCCTTCATAAATCCCCTCACAGGAGCATGTGGTACATCCATTCCAACAACATCGATTGCAGGATGTAAATGTATGTCAATACTACCCTCACCTCTCGGCAAATTCGGTATATGTCCCAGTTCCAGTATTTCCTTCCGGGGTCAACAGTCAATTGTTTATCGACACTCTGGACCAGGGATCGGGTCGTGTATAAAAATAGTAACATCCCACCGAGCATTAACACCTTAATAATCCGTATCTTGGAGCGTTTCATATTGATTCAATACATGCAGTTATAAAGACACTGAATATACATTTACGATCAAAATCAACGGTTTGGCGCAATGTATGATTATAAAGGTATTGTGACCATCGTATTATTTACATCTGTGACGATAGGTGTATTCGTGGCTGGTCTCTGATGGAAGTACATCTTTCATGTTGAAGATCATAGCCAAATGTCAACATACTCACGTCGATTATTGATTCCTTGATCCCACTACACCAATGCATCAAACCAGTCCCTGTATCTCAACAAGATCCTGGTCACGCATCACCCTCAGCATGACAAGAAGCAGACGCTCTGAGTTAGTGCAGCGCCCATTTTTAAAATAGTGCTCCTTTAAAGATCATATCACAGACTAAGTCTGCCTTTTCCCTGTAATGCGTTATTTCCAAAGCATCAGCAAACTGTCATTTGTTGCAAGCATAACGTACACGTGTGGATATTCTTTATAATTCTACATCACCACACGAGTATACTCGCACGATAGAGGGGATGGTTTATGAGAGAGAGCGCCTGTACGACACAGTGCGGCCATGTACCAGATGTCGCATTATAAAACGATTATTCGATTTTCGGCACAGTACAACTCTCACGCGACACGTTGTAGTTTGTGCAAAGTAAAATTCACTCAAAGTCGTACGCATGTCACACATGCGCTGCATTTTTAATTAGCGACTGCAGTGTATAAATAATTCATGGTTGAAATCTTGTCGATCGAAACGTAGTTCAGGCAGGCAAAATTATGTTTATAATTCATATTTATAATTTTATTTATAATTTTATTGCTGCGAACACATATCAGATATTTATATTAATGCCAAAATGAGTTGTTTGTATGTTCCGTTGAAGAATCTTGCGCACATCCACACAGGTACATGCAGATGTTTGTGTATGTTTGACTGTGTGCATGTGTGTGTGTGCGTGTGCATATGTGTCTGTGTCTATATCACATTGCCTATGTGTCTCTGGGTGTATACGCGTGTGTATGTGTAGTGCTAATCTACTACATCCAGTCACTGTGTTACTGAGTTTACAGTTAAAGCCGACCAGTCGTTGATCTATTCACGAAGTACTTTTCACCATGCAAGTAACAGTAGGTACCACCTTTTGATATAATGCAAACAAAGGTTTGAACCATGTATATTTCGCTTCTCATGCAGACGCTATAATGTTTCCTTAACCATTTCTTTTTTTAAATGTCGTTTATTGTGCAATGGAAATGAAATTCTGTCTTGCAAGATACCAGTTCCCGGCTGATCCAGAAACGGTGGCTGTGTTGTAAAGAAATTGCCGAGGCGAGTTGAAGAGATTGCCGAGGCCAGTTGAAGACATTGCCGAGGCCAGTTGAAGAAATTGCCGAGGCCAGTTGAAGAAATTGCCGAGGCGAGTTGAAGAGATTGCCGAGGCCAGTTGAAGAAATTGCCGAGGCGAGTTGAAGAGATTGCCGAGGCCAGTTTGAAATTGCCGAGGCCAGCTGATGAAATTGCCGAGGCCAGTTGAAGAAATTGCCGAGGCCAGCTGATGAAATTGCCGAGGCCAGTTGATGAAATTGCCGAGGCGAGTTGAAGAGATTGCCGAGGCCAGTTGAAGAAATTGCCGAGGCCAGCTAATGAAATTGCCGAGGCCAGTTGAAGAAATTGCCGAGGCCACTTTGAAGAAATTGCCGAGGCGAGTTGGAAGAGATTGCCGAGGCCAGTTGAAGAAATTGCCGAGGCCAGCTAATGAAAATTGCCGAGGCCAGTTGAAGAAATTGCCGATGCCAGCTGATGAAATTGCCGAGGCCAGTTGAAGAAATTGCCGAGGCCAGTTGAAGAAATTGCCGAGGCCAGCTGATGAAATTGCCGAGGCCAGCTAATGAAATTGCCGAGGCCAGTTGAAGAAATTGCCGAGGCCAGTTGAAGAAATTGCCGAGGCCAGTTGAAGACATTGCCGAGGCCAGCTGATGAAATTGCCGAGGCCAGTTGAAGAAATTGCCGAGGCCAGCTAATGAAATTGCCGAGGCCAGTTGAAGAAATTGCCGAGGCCAGTTGAAGAAATTGCCGAGGCCAGTTGATGAAATTGCCGAGGCCAGCTGATGAATGTGCCGAGGCCAGTTGAAGAAATTGCCGAGGCGAGTTGAAGAGATTGCCGAGGCCAGTTGAAGAAATTGCCGAGGCGAGTTGAAGAGATTGCCGAGGCCAGCTGATGAAATTGCCGAGGCCAGCTGATGAAATTGCCGAGGCCAGTTGAAGAAATTGCCGAGGCCAGTTGAAGAAATTGCCGAGGCCAGTTGAAGAAATTGCCGAGGCCAGCTGATGAAATTGCCGAGGCCAGTTGGAAGAAATTGCCGAGGCCAGTTGAAGAGATTGCCGAGGCCAGTTGAAGAAATTGCCGAGGCGAGTTGAAGAGATTGCCGAGGCCAGTTGAAGAAATTGCCGAGGCCAGCTGATGAAATTGCCGAGGCCAGTTGAAGAAATTGCCGAGGCCAGCTGATGAAATTGCCGAGGCCAGTTGAAGAAATTGCCGAGGCCAGTTGGAAGAAATTGCCGAGGCCAGTTGAAGAAATTGCCGAGGCCAGTTGAAGAAATTGCCGAGGCCAGTTGAAGAGATTGCCGAGGCGAGTTGAAGAAATTGCCGAGGCCAGTTGAAGAAATTGCCGAGGCCAGTTGAAGAAATTGCCGAGGCGAGTTGAAGAGATTGCCGAGGCCAGCTGATGAAATTGCCGAGGCCAGTTGATGAAATTGCCGAGGCGAGTTGAAGAGATTGCCGAGGCCAGTTGAAATTGCCGAGGCCAGCTAATGAAATTGCCGAGGCCAGTTGAAGAAATTGCCGAGGCCAGTTGAAGAAATTGCCGAGGCGAGTTGAAGAGATTGCCGAGGCCAGCTAATGAAATTGCCGAGGCCAGTTGAAGAAATTGCCGAGGCCAGCTAATGAAATTGCCGAGGCCAGTTGAAGAAATTGCCGAGGCCAGCTGATGAAATTGCCGATGCCAGTTGAAGAAATTGCCGAGGCGAGTTGAAGAGATTGCCGAGGCGAGTTGAAGAAATTGCCGAGGCCAGTTGAAGAAATTGCCGAGGCCAGTTGAAGAAATTGCCGAGGCCAGTTGAAGAAATTGCCGAGGCCAGTTGAAGAAATTGCCGAGGCCAGCTGATGAAATTGCCGAGGCCAGTTGAAGAAATTGCCGAGGCCAGTTGAAGAGATTGCCGAGGCCAGTTGAAGAAATTGCCGAGGCGAGTTGAAGAGATTGCCGAGGCCAGTTGAAGAAATTGCCGAGGCCAGCTGATGAAATTGCCGAGGCCAGTTGAAGAAATTGCCGAGGCCAGCTGATGAAATTGCCGAGGCCAGTTGAAGAAATTGCCGAGGCCAGTTGAAGAAATTGCCGAGGCCAGTTGAAGAAATTGCCGAGGCCAGTTGAAGAAATTGCCGAGGCGAGTTGAAGAGATTGCCGAGGCGAGTTGAAGAAATTGCCGAGGCCAGTTGAAGAAATTGCCGAGGCCAGTTGAAGAAATTGCCGAGGCGAGTTGAAGAGATTGCCGAGGCCAGTTGAAGAAATTGCCGATGCCAGTTGAAGAAATTGCCGAGGCCAGTTGAAGAAATAGCCGAGGCCATTTGAAGAAATTGCCGAGGCCAGTTGAAGAAATTGCCGAGGCGAGTTGAAGAGATTGCCGAGGCCAGTTGAAGACATTGCCGAGGCCAGTTGAAGAAATTGCCGAGGCCAGTTGAAGAAATTGCCGAGGCCAGTTGAAGAGATTGCCGAGGCCAGTTGAAGAAATTGCCGAGGCCAGCTGATGAAATTGCCGAGGCCAGTTGAAGAAATTGCCGAGGCCAGCTGATGAAATTGCCGAGGCCAGTTGATGAAATTGCCGAGGCCAGTTGAAGAGATTGCCGAGGCCTGTTGAAGAGATTGCCGAGGCGAGTTGAAGAGATTGCCGAGGCCAGTTGAAGAAATTGCCGAGGCCAGCTAATGAAATTGCCGATGCCAGTTGAAGAAATTGCCGATGCCAGTTGAAGAAATTGCCGAGGCCAGTTGAAGAAATTGCCGAGGCGAGTTGAAGAGATTGCCGAGGCGAGTTGAAGAAATTGCCGAGGCCAGTTGAAGAAATTGCCGAGGCCAGCTAATGAAATTGCCGAGGCCAGTTGAAGAAATTGCCGAGGCCAGTTGAAGAAATTGCCGAGGCCAGTTGAAGAAATTGCCGAGGCCAGCTGATGAAATTGCCGAGGCCAGTTGAAGAAATTGCCGAGGCGAGTTGAAGAGATTGCCGAGGCCAGTTGAAGAAATTGCCGAGGGCGAGTTTGAAGATTGCCGAGGCCAGTTGAAGAAATTGCCGAGGCCAGCTGATGAAATTGCCGAGGCCAGTTGAAGAAATTGCCGAGGCCAGCTGATGAAATTGCCGAGGCCAGTTGAAGAAATTGCCGAGACGAGTTGAAGAGATTGCCGAGGCGAGTTGAAGAGATTGCCGAGGCCAGTTGAAGAAATTGCCGAGGCCAACTGATGAAATTGCCGAGGCCAGTTGAAGAAATTGCCGATGCCAGCTGATGAAATTGCCGAGGCCAGTAGCATTTGTGTGACTATCTAAGACAGCAGGTGATGTCTGCAACAATCACTCAGTACTATGATTCGTTGTTTTATATATTTCAGGGGCCTTCGTGTTGGTACGTTGTGAACTAGGTTAGCTCTCTTGCATGCTGACTTTGGGGACACATTTTGACCTGTATATGTATTGACTGATAATGAAAAGTTCAGCTAAGTAAGAATTTTACCAGATCGTCAATTCACACTCTCAACTCAAATCGACGTACCTCAAATACAGTCGAATAATAATCAGTATTTACTGATTGCACTGATCTATTCATAAATAGTGAGAGAGTGAGTGAGTTTAGTTTCACGCCGCACTCAGCAATATTCCAGCTATATGGCGGCGGTCTGTAAATAATCGAGTCTGGACCAGACAATCCAGCGATCAATAGCATGAGCATCGATCTGCGCAATTGTGGACCGATGACATGTGTCAACCAAGTCAGCGAGCCTGACCAACCGATCCCGTTAGTCGCCTCTTACGACAATCATGGGTTACTGAACATCAAGTCTAACCCGGACCTTCACGTGTTATTCATAAATATATACTAACAGTAATGTATTCCAACTTGACACACACGGAGAATTCTCATGAACCCTTGTAGTTAGTGAGTGAGTGAGTTGGGTTTCCATCCCACTATCAAATGTTTTGTTTTTGATGGTGGTGTGGGCACTGACGTGAGGCATTGTGGGCGCCAGTGATCATGTTGTTGATAACGTAGATCTATAAATGGACATCTCAGTCAGAATAGCATGAAGGCAAGTGACAATGTGAGATTGATTTTACTGTGTTAATGTGATGTGTGCTATTTACGTTGTACAATAGCTATCACAGTCTGATAGGCGTGAGGGCGGACATGTAACATGTGCGTTCTGATACGTCATTGGTAGTCAACATATCGTGTTTGTCAATATATAGCAGCGGTCTTTGAACTGAGTGAGTGAGTGAGTGAGTGAGTTTAGTTTTACGCCCTACTCAGCAATATTCCAGCTATATGGCGGCGGTCTGTAAATAATCGAGTCTGGACCAGACAATCAAGTGATCAACAGCATGAGCATCGATCTGCGCAATTGGGAACCGATGACATGTGTCAACCAAGTCAGCGAGCCTGACCACCCGATCCCGTTAGTCGCCTCTTACGACAAGCATAGTCGCCTTTTTGTGGCAAGCATGGGTTGCCGAAGAAATATTCTACCCCGGGTCTTCACGGGTCTCTTTGAACTGCATGAAGATTAGATGAACGTACGTAAATAACATTTCCATAACACGTACACATATGTTTTTGTATTGTTCGTAGTTACTATGTTCGTGTAGACAGAATAAACAAAATTACTTTGAAGAGATTTGTACGACCCGGAAATCTTGTCCAACAATTCACATATGGTGTTTATTGTCCAGCTAAAGGGCAGCATTGTATACAACATCTTCTGAGCTGGCGGTGGGGTAGCCATGTTGTTAAAGCGTTAGCACGTCACTATGGTGATCCGGACTTCACTCCTCAAGGATGCAGTGTGTCAAGTTTATTTGTGGGGTGGGCCCTGATTTAACTCGAATATTGATCAGCGTGGCATAACACTACACTCGCCCCTTCTACACATCACTGACATCATTAATAACTCTCCAACGAACACAAACGAAGTCACACCAAGATCAGGTCATCTGTCAAGTACTTAACAAACAACGTCTTAGTTCAATACTTTATTTGTGTTAGGATCTATTTACAATCTTTGACGTCTCCGCATGGTGTAGCATTGCACCGCTACAGTTACTAAACATCGACAGCGATGCATCATTATTTCCAAATGATTCTTGAGGCTACACCGGTATGGAACACCATTTTCTTTCACATCATTACCAAGAAAATATGCGATTAATTCGCACTCTTATTCTTTCGAATTCCTAAGTATTTTGTCTCTCTCCTCTTCCTCCACCGGGAACAATATATAAACATTCGGTGTTACTCTGTTGCACAATTATATACAGCCATTCACTCCAGGCGACCTGTAAGTAGGTCAATGATTATGACATTTTTTTAAGGCATCCATCTTATTATTGTGATTATGGATTACACTATCGAGTTTTTAGTCTAAATTTAGACTTTTCAAATATCCATTTCTGATTGGCACTTCCATTGCAAGTTGTCATGAAAATGTTGGAATTTTCTCCAACCGTTAAACAGATGTTTAATTTTGTCAGACGAAGATCCTTATCCTGAAAGTAAATAAAAGAATACAGAGTTAACCAGGTCCACGTGTTGCAGACAAGTTGAAAGACTGCCCTGCTGGTTTTGCAGAAGACAATTCGAGTGATGTCTTTCAGTCATAACAGACACAGTTTGGACTTCAAGTTAACTATGAGATCAACAGGTTCGATAAAATACAGTTTATGCATATCGTTTCTTTAATGACGGGCTTCGCTGAAGTCGAAGCTGACTGATGCATATCGACCACTCTATTCTCTCTGTAGGGCGTTGTTGAACGGGTGAATACCTTCCACAAATACCACTACACATTGGTCGTAAATGGAAGCATAAGATTATAAACCATTACTAGGCCCAGTCTCGGTTGATACTACAACTACCCTCGAAGATCAGGGTTAGAGTTGGTCTTCAGGAACCCATGAATGCCGTAAGAGGCGACTAACGGGATCGGGTGGTCTGACTCTCTGACTTGGTTGACACATGGCATCGTATTCCAATCCCGTTTATCGATTCTTACGGTGTTAATCACTGGATAGTCTGTTCCAGACTTGATTATTTACAAACTGCCGCCATATACCTGTCACATTATTGAGTGCGGCGTTAAACAACAAACAAACAAACAAACAAACAAACAACATTATACTACAGCTTTCGAAAATGACTAAATTTCGAACTGGTTTTATGAAATTACCTGTGTGAAGAACGTAAACGTTCGATTAGAAGCGCTGTCATTACAGGTATGAAGAAAATCATTTCTCAACAAAGCAATTGTGACATTCTTCATGTGTTATCGGATTAACATGTAACGTTTGTTAGTGAGTATTGTTCAACGTCATTTTGAATACTATTTCCGACATATCATGGTATTTAAGCTTCAGGTACGTAGTAGATGTTTATCACATTGGTGAAACCCAAGACTGACTGACTGAGTTTGGTTTTACGCCGCTTTTAGCAATATTTGAGCAACATCACGGCTTGGGACACCAGAAATGGGCTTCACACATTGTACCCATGTGGGGATTCGAACCCGGGTCTATGGCGTGACGAACCAACGCTTTAACCAGAAACCCAAGAAGAGGTCTATGTCAGTTTATCTCAATCTCAATAAGTTTATCAGTTTATCTCAATTCCCCTGAGACTAGTTTTATCCTCTTACACCAGTGTATGTCCAGATCCTTTTGCTCTCGAAGAAACAATTGTCTTGTGTTAGCTCGCCGGACATCACACAGAGTCTCTGACCACTGGAACTCTGCAGCATCCCAGAGGGGTACAGTTTCCAGTACTGAGGACAAACAAGCATATTCTGCAGAGAAGATTAATTTTCATTGTGTACTATAAATACCAGAAACACTATTCTCTTTTATCTTCGATGCCTACCCTCGATCTTGCGTATGCCTATAATTTTTACAGTGCCAACATTTTCATTTTCTATGATACATATAGTACCAATACATAATGATGTTATTTGAATGTTCTGAAGGAAGAAATTGGAAAATGTAAGTATTTGCTAAAGAGCATCGCCTCTCTTATACTGGTTTTATTAATTGTGATATTTTTTACATTAATATGTCGGCCCTATGGAGTAAGTGTGTTGTGAATGTATAAAGAATGTATAACAATATTCATAGTGAGTGAGTTAATAATTTATGTCACATCGGCAATATTTCAGCCACATCGTGACTAAAACTAGTTCTAAATTCATTATAGATACATATTATTTATAAAAAAGTAAAATAAATAGATTACGACAACTTTGTTCAAACTAGATCAAGGAAAAAATAATAATACACTAACAATTAAAGATAAGATAAAAAATGGCAATAGATCACTAGCAACTGAAGTTAGTCACCACACTCGGGACCGTGGAGACTTACAACACATCTGTTTCCTGCACGGTTTACAACCTGGATTTGTACCATCAATGCAGCTGCCAGCGATTGTCAATATTCATAACTGAACAGCAGTGCCATTCTTTGCTAACTTTGTACTGTATTTCATTCCAAGGTTCCAGAAGAGACCACATGACATTCACACACCTGGTTACCACCTTGCCCGTGACAAGGAACGAGACTGGGTGTTTTCCGTCCTTCAGTGTCGAGACATAGCGCTGGGCTGGAACTGCTGCGAACCTATCAAAGACGACATTTCATATTTTTAGACGTTCCACAATGATTCACACTTCAAATAGTGTTCTTATCAAAGACCAGTTGAATGACGGACTCTTAGAAAGTCTTGTGACGTTTTCCGTCATTTTCCAGCATTTCTCTCAGATGACTGATACCAGAATGGACGTTACACATTGAACCATCTGGAGACAAAACTATGACCACAAGGTGTCCCCATTATCCCTCAGGAAAAACATTATTGAGTCATAATCAAGCAGGTTCATTTAAACATTCAAAATGCAGAATTCGGGAACCATTGCACCAAGTTTCCTTGTTCATCACGGGCCTGTAAACAGTGGTATTCGATTCCCGTAATATTGGGACCAACTTTTACACGACTGCACAATGACGAAATCACGTAAATCATGATTTCCTCATGAAATAAAGTAACCGACATCTAACCGAGACTTGTTGTGTATGGTCTCACTGACTAGGCGCAAGTTGTTAATTTCAAACGTGTACTAACTAGGTTCACCCCACAAGATGAATAGAAGTGAATGATGGAATATAGTTTTACGCCAGACCTTTCCTTGTTGACCGGCAGTGAGTTACTGTGTGTTAATGACAGCTCTTGTTCTTCACTTCATCATTAAGATGAAGCGCCATCAGATGCAGATATTTCATGCTGTAGTATACTGCCTCGTGGAGTAATGCATATATTAAACAAACGTACCGCTGCAAGCTTCCGTGAATAATTTGTACCTTTGACAATGGGAAATTTTCCACTGAGAACTGAGAAGGGTCGGAATGCCGCTAATGAAAATGCTCATCAGAAAGAGGTTTACACAATGGTGAGAAATAACCAGAGAAGAGTGCATCCAGGCAAAGAAACTCCGTAAATTGGACAACAGACACGGAGTGGAATATTATATGGAGGAGAGGAGAGGGCAGTACTATAACATATCCGCCATTTGTACAGTCCGAGACATAGGCATAGGCCTTAACTAGATCTGGATTGTTTTCAATTATGCATCTAACGTTCTTCTCGGTAAAATGTTTATACTGATTTTAATTACCACTTTGACAAGTTTCTTGATTGTATGTGAATACAAGTAATTGAATGTCATGACTGATGTCAAGACCGATTGTCAGTGAAAGTGAAAGTGGTCGTGAGTGAGTGAGTGATTTTACACCGCCTTTAGTAATATTCCAGGAACATCACGGCGGGGGACATCAGGAAAGGGTTTCACACATTGCACCCATGTGGGGAATCGAACCCGAACGCTTTAACCAGGAGGCTCCACCACCGCCCTAGAGGAATAAAACAAGGTTGATGTTAGTGCTCTTACCTCTCCCACATTCAATAACACGGGTAACGGAATTTCCGGATACACATTTTCTATATACCAGCGGAAGTCATGACAATGAAGACTGTCCCGCAGTTTCTTCCGGTCGCTAATGTCCCCGTATTCATGCCGTCCCTGAAAGAAGGTCATATGCAGTGTTGATCTGTCTTAACAGAAACGCAAATGGTTTCTTAGGTGTGAGAATTCCAGCCATCTTCAATTACCTAAACCTGTGTTATGCATTTTATCCTAAGCCATCAGTTGTAGAGATATAAAGTTTTAAGAGTTATTGCAATGATTCGATGCAACATACTTTTCCTTTTTGAACAAATACCTGCCGAGATCGAAGAGACATGGTGGGTCATTTCGGAGGTTATCTATAAATCAGAGGACAATTAAACAAATTGACGAATCAATCAGAAAAAAATAAAAGTTCAGTTACATTAACAGCATTGATTTTAAAATAAACAAATGTTTTCCAAATCTTTGTCCATGAAATTCACCTGAAGCAATGAAGTCTGTTCGTAGAACAAGTGCTTGTATTCATCCAGCCAGACCTCAGCAACTCTCAAAGAATTGGTCAAAATAGGGTTACCGCCTTCCTTCCATTTGACCGGATTCTTTCTGCGGAAGATGTGCCCCACGTGTGAACAAGGAAGCAGCTCCAAGGTTCCGTTACACATCCACGTCTGAAACAAGTGGATGTAATTCACCAACATTGTCTACCCACAAAAAGTAAAAATGTATATAGTTCATACGTGTTTCTTTCTGATTGGATAACCATTTGCTTTAGACGAGGTTCTCTAATAGCGGCCTTTTGTGAGTAACGCTAACTACTAACAAGAAGACGGGTAGCGATTCAGTTGTCGACACATTCCATATATACACAGAGTGTTATTACAGTACACACTTGAAGGTATCGCGGCATGACAATGGCCACTGAATTATGGACAGTGTCTCAGATGTGCGAGGGGTAAGCTAACTTGTTGATACAAATCTTGATGGTTGATAATCGGAAGAAGGTGCAATTGAAGTAACTGGTCGATATAACTATTCGCTGTCTGTTTCCTCAGAACCATCACTAAGTCAGATCTTCGTGTTTGGAACATCGAGCCCTGTACCATCACAGTTAGCCACTGAATCTGTTACGGTCTTATAGCGGTTCCGTTTGTGCATCATACCAATTCAAGAATACGAAAGTAACGTCCTTCAATGCTAAACGTCCATTTTGTCTAGATGGTTCATAAATAATTTAAATGTAAATGCTCCAGTGCGTTTCATTTCTTTAAAGAATGTCTGTGAAAGCAAAGCTTACTTTGAGAGACAGCTCCATGTTCTCACCGCCCCAGAACGAGAGCCCCGGGTCATACGTCCCAAGTGTAGTAAACCACTTTTTGTCTATAGCAAACAACCCACCAGGCATAGTAGGAGATCTGCAGAGCAACAAGAAACAGGCAATAGTTCGAGGGAGAGAAAATTGACGATGTACAGAAAGTTCCAACTGTCTTCGGAACCTGGCCTAAGCCGAGTTCAGCATGTGCGTGGGTATCTTAATTAACCAGGATTTGTTTTGACAGTATAGTTTATAGTTCCCGATATATTATTTTTCAGGTAAACAGTTGACAAACCTTTGCACATGTTCATGACGGGTGGACCCGTGAAGATCCGGGGTAGAATAGGTCTTCAGCAACCCATGCTTGCCACAAAAGGCGACTATGCTTGTCGTAAGAGGCGACTAACGGGATCGGGTGGTCAGCCTCGCTGACTTGGTTGACACATGTCATCGGTTCCCAGTTGAGCAGATTGATGTTCATGCTGTTGGCCACTAGATTGTCTAGTCCGGACTCGATTATTTACGCCATATAGCTGGAATATTGCTGAGTGCGGCGTAAAACTAAACTCACTCACTCACTCATTCATGACGGGTGCCACCGGTTTGGCAGAATACGTTCTCCTTTTCTTTAACACCTGGTATTATCCCTACTTGATAGTGATTCATAAACACCTGCTGTCACCGTATCTCATAGTTTCAGTCACTGGATTGTCTGGTCCAGCCGCGATTGTTTACCGCGCCGCACCGTACAGATGTAATACTGCTTAAGGTGACGTCAAACAATACATGCTAATGATATAGTCAGAAATGTACAATCGACATTTGATGTTTCTTACGAACATGGAAAGGTTTTGTCGTTTCCATTTGAGGTAAATATCAGCTTAGGTCTACCCTACATTAACTGAATTCCTACGTTTGCACAGCAAAACAAATGTTTCTGCGTGACTGCCACGTGGCGTAGAACGCTTCATCATCACAAACATTGTGGAACTGAAGTACTCTTTTCAATCTATGCGTGTGGAAGAACTTACCTAATAGGGCCGTTGGGCGATGTCATCTGTCTCTTACTCTTGTTGCCGATATTCCCCAGGTGAAGAGAAGCACCTTCCAGGTAAATATCCCATAGTGCCTTAACTTGCTGGTCATACCTGTCCCGAAGTTGTCCGCGCTTATAACATGGATATGAGGAAAGGGAACGTTCCTTGGATTGGTCCGGATCCTTTCGAGCTGTGGTTCTAACCAGCCTGGAAACAGGAAACACATGCTGGTCTGATGTCAAGAGGTAAGGTGAAATGGGGTTTAACGTCGTACTTAAGAATATTTCACTCATAGGACGACGTGCATGCGTGTGTATGTGTGGCTGCTTGTACTAGCCCAGACTTAAGCTGGTTTTATAGTGCTAGCTCACTGAGATACCATGCCGCAGTTAAGCATGAATACTCCACTCAGACACATGCATGCATGTGGGGTTGTACGTGTGTGGGGGGTGGTGGCTGTTTGGATGGGTGTTTTGCAGCAACACCATTGACCGTAGCATTATGCTGTTTTGTGCAATGTCCAGTCTGTCCTTGAGTATCTCCCTAGTAACTGGGGAGGCCACGAAAGGACTCTTCAGGAGACGACGGCAAAGTGCAAGTAGACGTTACGACTACTACGTCAGTACAGAAAGAAAAATCCAAGTGATTGATTCTTCTGCCGCTTCACCAGTCACCAATGTGGTCGTGGATGTTTGGCAGGTTACGAAGGGCAGCGTGGCATCAATGGATGAAACAAATGATTCACGTATCATCCGTGAACCTGTCTCTGGAAGTGATAGACAACCCAGTCGATTTGATACTCCAATGGATGGACAGTGTATCGCGCGTCATGGTGAATCTATTGACTATAACACTTCCTATGACGTAAGGTGTACTGCCTGTATTTGTGGCCCAAAAATCACACCTCTGCATTGTAGAATATCGAAAGCATATCACTTTGAAGTCGTCTGTGAGTGAGTGAGTGACTTATAATTTAAAGTTACTTTGGCAATATTTCAGCCATATCGTGACTAAAACAACATATATATTAACAATAATTAAAGATAAAGTATAAAATCCTGTCAACGAAGGACAGTAAAACAAATAGAATATCACACATAAATGTAAAACTAGTAATTAAATCTAAAACATTTTAACTATAGAGGACAACACAATATATAAATAGGCTATAGATCACCAGTAGCTGAAGGTAGTTCACCATACTAGGGACCATGGGGACTGAAGTTGTCTGTGGGGTTTTCGCCAGTTACAATATGTGTGCGTGTAACAGTGACTGTGTGTGCGTGTGCGCGTGCGTGCACGCGTGTGTGTGTCTGTGTGGATACATGTGCGTATGTATCTACTGTTCTCTCTGACGTCATAGCTGAAGCATTAAGGAAATCCCTGTCGTGTATATATTATACATACTGTCATACAAACAATCCAATTTCTCAGCCACTTTCTAATCCACATGACACCTATTTCGAATTGTAACTTTCATCACTACTTTAATAGAAATAGTATATCATTACCTGGAAAACATTCGATGTGCGAGTCAAGAAACACCAGCACTGGTCCAACCGCCACTTCATTTCCAATGAGTCTCGCTGTGATTAGACCACGTTGCTTCCTGAGTCTAACAATCTTAACCTTTTCCAGTTTTGACATGTACTTTTTTAAAGGCGCCATGAGGTGATCTGAAGTTATAAACATCAAAGGGCCTTTTAGTGCTATTCCCCCGTATCATTTTCAAACATTATATCCATTCAAACGCCATCAGGATAATGGACTGCTATACGGGGAGTAACCTCCTCTCTTCACACGATTGCCCATTCACTTGTCCAGAAGCAAGGTTCACTGCGTGTCAGCAAATACATGAAAACGATAGAAACATTAACAAATGGTAAGATAAAACATAAGTGAGTTAGTGAAGTGCCAATTGTGTCAGGTTAATATGTGATGAGGCATTGGAGACAAGACCACGCCCCAAGGAACACACGTGAGTTCCAGTCCCTGGTCTCGCCGAATATGAATCTGTTTCCAGGTTTGTCAGCCCTATATCCGTAAACCTGCTTTTAACAAAGTTATAAACGGATGAACCTTGATACACTTCGATCTTCCTCTCATGCCACTGGAGTACTGTCTAACAGAGCGTTCAATCCACACACTCATTGCTTTGGGAAAGCCTGAACCGACACAGGAAACTTAAGCATTTGGGCAACATTTTCGAGCTAATATTTTTGTTTGCCCATGACTGACTGACTGAGTTTGGTTTTACGCCGCTTTTAGCAATATTCCAGCAACATCACGGCGGGGGACACCAGAAATGGGATTCACACATTGTACCATGTGGGGATTCGAACCCGGGTGTTCGGCGTGACGAGCCAACGCTTTAACCACTAGGCTACCCCACCGCCCCTGGTTTGCCCTTGAAGGTAATTATAGCGTAGGTGAGAGGTATTACATTTAGTTCGTGATAAAATGCTGATAAAATTTAAGGATACAAATGGCTTACTTAGATCAAATCGGAACACATGTTATGTGTATATGTCTTCGTTGTATGGAAGCATTGTTTTCTATTCTGAGATGTGCAGGGTTCGGTTTAGAGCACTGTCAGTGGAGGAGGAGAGCAGATAAACCCCCTTAAGGCATCGAAACAAATCATTGATCATATCCTTCACGACTTTGCAGTGGAGTCTTGAACGTGTTGTTGTTAGCATACCTTGTGTTGATGCATCGTCCACCAGAATTACTTCCTTAATTAGATGTTCGGGAGAGCGGTCAAGGACGCTGTGGACGGATCTGAGGAGAGTGGACCAAGCCTCGTTATGGAAACAGATGATGACACTTGCTGGAGGTAGGTCGGCCGGATACACACGTGACTTGCACCTGAGAAGATATGGTGAATAGTGGAATCTCAAAGCCACAACAAACTGATTGATGAAGCCCTATTTTCAGGAACTGAGAATTTAGTGATAATCAAATTAGGCATAATATAAGAACAACAGATACAGTGTTATAACATTATTAAGAAATCAGGATACACTCTGACATCGCACAGTGAGTGAGTGAGTGAGTTTAGTTTTACGCCGCACTCAGCAATATTCCAGCTTTGTGGCGGCGGTCTGTAAATAATCGAGTCTGGACCAGACAATCCAGTGATCAACAGACATCGCACAGCATCACATGTAAAACTGCATGGTAGAGCTGATGAAGCTAATGATGCCATGCCTGAGATACCTACTCATCTTGTCTGTAATCTGGTAGACGTCGATGAACGGAGATACGGTCGCTCACCAACTGGTTGAAGCTATTTCTCCTCCATCCTTCGTCGCTTTGGTCGTGTTCCTGCCCAGTAGCTCGGTATTTGAAGGCACTTCCCCATTCACCTAGAATTACATTACAAGACTGAAACAATCACTGACATCCAGTCTCTATATGGGTAGTAGCGCCATGCATTTGAAAATGGTTTATGAAAAGACACAGACAAGTTGTTATTGGAGATAGCATTATGTTACCCGGTTCTTACTATATGTCAGTATTATGTTACCCGGTTCTTACTATATGTCAGCATTATGTTACCCGGTTCTTACTATATGTCACCCCTTACTATATGTCAGCATTATGTTACCCGGTTCTTACTATATGTCAGTATTATGTTACCCGGTTCTTACTATATGTCAGTATTATGTTACCCGGTTCTTACTATATGTCAGTATTATGTTACCCGGTTCTTACTATATGTCAGTATTATGTTACCCGGTTCTTACTATATGTCAGTATTACGTATATATGTGAATGATACAAACCATTCTTCAATATCATACAGTTATTTTATCATGCACATATCAGAAGTATTTTAGGCTAAAACGTTTTGATGGTCCCTCGCATCTTCCCGTGTAAAGTATCAAACACTTTTCCCTTACCTGGACCATTCTCCGGACTGTATTCCACAAATGGCGGATATGTAACCTTACTATCATCTCCTCCGTACTCCTCCACGTAATACTCTAGGTTCCCTGTTTTCTGCGTCTGTTTGACTTCCTCCCTGTCCACTGGCAAGTGTTTTTGGCTGCTTCTATCC